ACAAGCCCTACTGCACTTCCACTATCTTATTAGCTATTTAATTAACGGAATTGGTTTAAAATGTTATTTTAAGGATACAAAATCATGATGTCGTTCCTTCTGGACAATTGCCTCAAAAGGGTTTATTGAAGACATTTTCTATTGAGATGAGCGATAATATACTAAATGTGACATACAACACGGATGCTAGGATTTGAACTCAAAATCTTGCCCAGATGAGCAATTACTTTAAACCACTACGCTAATGGGTTTTTTGCCGCCTCAAAAGGGTTTAATTGACTTGGATTAAATGGAATTTTATAGTGGAGCCCAGCCTAGCTATTTAACTCATTACATATGGACTGGGCTGCTTAAGGACTTAAGATAGATGAATATTCTCAACATCCATGATTTTCTATATCTTCCAGTATATTTTGGATTTGGACGGTTCTTTTTCTTTTTCCTTGTTATCGAAAATAAATTATTCCATATGCCCAAAAACAAATATATATATATATATTATCTTCTTCTTGTTTTACATGTGGGGGGATGGGGGTGGGGATTCATTACTAGTTATGCTAGCTTATCTGTTTGAGTTCATTTTTTTCAGTTAAGAGATACCTGCTGCTAATTGTTCTCCAGAATGTTTTTATATTGAATATCTTATTTATCTCCCACCCATCCCATCGATGTATGGTTTGGGGAAAAAGGAAACTGTGATACGTACATTCTATTTCTGAATATAAAGTTACAAACAGAAATTAACAGGTAAAAATGCATATATCAATCTTGTGCTAACTAAAGTTAAGAGAATATTACAAGGGATAATGAGATCAAGTGCCTTGGCTTTTAATTTGTAATGAATAAAATGATGTAGCTGCAGCAGGTGGGACACATGCATGCTTGGCTCCATGGCTCACAGCACGCATGCTTAGACATGTATGCAGCATGTCCTCTGTGCGTGGCAGTAACTTTTTCATTATTCAGGATTTCATATATAAAGCATTTCCTGATCAATTGCCAGTACTAATTAATAAATATTAAAGATATATATAAGGGTAGACCAAAGCATACCCAGAGAGAGAGGGAGAGAGAGAGAGAGTAAAATAAAAGGAAGTGATGGAGTCCGTACATGCAGAGATGTTCCTTTTAACAGGAAAAAATAAATAAAGGGTTTTGTGCTTTTGGCCTATTGGGGTCTCTGGCTTTTGGCAGACGGAAGAGATGGTGCAGTGCAGGCACTGAGGCAATTAAGGGTATGTCTTGGGCGAGAAGGGAAGGAAGGATGCCCTAATAAAAGCGAGAGGCTTGGGCGAAGAAAAAGAAATTGATATTATTCGATTGTGCTTGTCACTTTTCACCCTCTTTAATTAATTTTCTGCCTCTTATTTGACGAACATATAATCTCAAATTTAATTATATATGATCGAAAAAGTAAGCCCGTGAATCTCCTTTTTGATGAACATGTACCGTGTACGTACGTGTTTTAGTTTTTTTAGATGAGACTTTATAGTTGGGCAGACAGTTGATCAGGATCAGAGCCTGGTATGAATATATAGCTATTTCCGTCTATATATTTTCATTTTGAAATCATGCATGTATGTGTAACAATGTGTATGTATGGTCAAAGCTCAAACCCAATGGTTTGAATTGAACAGAGACAAACGAAAGAACCCAGATCTCAGGTGTAAGAATAGAATCATGGCCGTGGGAGGATTGTGATGTATATATGTAGTATTCAAAGCTGAAGAGATCCGACGGTGGGGGTGTAGTGTAGGAGCTTAGTGTACTTTTGATTCTTGGGAATCTCATTGTTTTCTTTTCCGTGGAGAGAGAACATCAATCAAGAAAGAAAGAAATAAAATTAAAACCCATTAATTTCAATCGTACAAAGTTTTGCATTGGGCAGCAGAACAGGGAGGGAGGTAGGGAGGGATAAAGGTGTTGGCTTTATATATATATATATAAGAGTGAGCGAGCGTGATCAAATCCTCAGCTGTTGAATTGTCGCAATGTACGTAATGTTTATCTTCTTCTGTATCAGATCAGATGTGAGTTTGTTTGCCATTTAGAGTGGAACAGGCAGAGAGAAAACAATACGGGAGTGCGTTAGAGTAGCCCAAATGAGGTGTCGGTGTGTCCATTTATAAATTTATCTGTCTGAAGCTGCTGCTAGCTGGTAGCTGCTGAGGCACGTAATTATGGAAAAGCTTCTCTTCTTTTTTTTTGGTCATAATGGAAAAGCTTCTTTATATGCTTCAGCAACTCGTACCAATTAATTATCCCTGCTCCAGTAATATTCGTGTAGTTGAGTTTCTTTATGCTAAAGTTGTAGCGATCAGAGTTGATAATCTATATCATGGTTGCTGATGTAAATATTTGTATTACCCCAAGAACAAAGTTGCTGATCTAATTAAGCACGTGAGATTATTTGTTCCCTTTAGGATCGATGCAGTGGAACAATTTTCCACAGGGCAAGTGTCTTGGATCCATCTTGATATATCCTAAGTTTAAGGGTGTGGTTAAAACTTAAAAAGAGAAACATCAATGGATGTCATGTCACGCTTGTTTGAAGTCCCGGGAATTATATCAGCTGGTTGGTGGTAAACAAATTTAAACATGAACACTGTTATAATAATTAAGGATGAACAGAGTCTATGGGCCCCCGGGGCAGGGCAGGGCAGGGCAGGGGCAGCATGAAGAAGAAACTTTGATGGATAATTAGGTGAGAGCATGCAACTGTTTGACCAAACATTTGGTTTGTTTGGCATGCACTTGCACAGTTGCACAGTTTGCACTTGCCCTGTAGCCTGTATATGAATAATATGATATGAGGATGAGGATGAGGATGAGGACGATGATGATGTATTTTGTTGAGCAAAGTCTGACGCAAACTCAAACTCTCCTTTTTTCAAATTTTAAAACACGACAACACCAAACCAATGCTACTGCCTACTTTATAGAATACTGAATAGCCCATAGCTCCTTGAGCCGTTAAAGCGAAACGACATGACGGCTTTTCTCAGCCTTTGTTGCGAACCAGCTGACGTTAGCCCAACGTTGACTGCTTTTTCTCTCAACTTTTGCTGCCATCTAGCCTCCTGTTTGTCGTTTTCACTTTTGACAACCACGCTTTATTTACTCATTTTTTTATATAATATTAAACTAATGACATGATCAGTTAATTCATACATACATAATTAAAAACTCAGCTGGGTATTTGTTAATGTGTTCTACTTTATGGACATAGATCGAATAGCTGGTTAGGGGGCTTCAAATATCGAGGCTGTTTTGTTCTTTCTTCTTTTTAGGAATTTGAGCTCTCTCTCTCTCTCTCTCTCTCTCTTTGTGTTCTTTGTTAGTGTGTTTAGAACAAAACTATATATTAAAATGGTTAATAATAAGAAAGTTTAATTTGCAGTGGAATGAATGAATGAAGAGGAAGTCTGGTTTGGTATATGAGAGAGAAAGAGTGTATCGGTATTGGGATCTGTCGGTGGTTTTGTCTTCTCTCTCTCTCTCTCTCTCTCTCACTCTCACTCAGCTTTGTGTGTGTTGTGTTGTGTGTGTTCCAACTTCCAACAGTAGCTTAGTTTAGTACTCAACTGTCACACGGCAATGCCTGTCTCCAACTCTTCTGTCCTTGGTGGCTGATTGGGTGCCTCAATCACTTATTCCTAACTCTCTAATCACAGCTATCTTAAACAAACATGTATTAATTCATCATCATATATCTTATTGAGTTTGTTTAAGATAAATATAACGAGTCTTATTATTTTCAAACAAATATACATTACATTAGTCTCCATGCAGAATCCATATCAGTTAACCAAGCAAACAAACGAAGACGGTGACTCTAACCATTTGTTACGTATTTTCAAGATTTTTCTAGCATTAACAAATTGTTTGTCGTTTGCAAACGTGTCTTTGCTCTTGGCCATATGCTGTGTGGGGCTGGAGAGAGAGGGGTGGAGTTAGATTCCTCTAGTACGCAGGACTTGACTCTTGTCTTTAGAGACAAACTTGTGTTGAAAAATAACGAAACATGCGAAGAACCAAGAACAAAGTTGTGTTTAAACTTGAATACTGAATACAACTTAAATAGCAAACTAACAAAGCAACTAAATAAAATATTCTTAACAAGTTGGGCACTATGTTATGTTATGTTATGTTCCGTTTGTGTATTTTTTATTATAAAAAAGACATAAAACGTTATTCGGGTTGTATGAGTAACCGGCTTTTAATGATTTAAGCTACAAATCCCTCGTTGTATGTCATGGTTGTTTGATTACATCTCTTCTAATTCTAGGTTGAAAGCTAGTTTCTATTTTCTGTCTCTTTGTAGTTTGATACAAAATATATTATATAATTTGACCCTTTGAAGTAAGACGTAATCCCATTCCAATACATAGTTATAATTTACAAAATTTCAAAACCATGGTATGGGAAGGAAATACATACAAAGAGCCAAACATAAGTCCTCACTACAGAATTCTTGAAAGAGGCAAATAGCCAAAGAAAGAAAGAGGTGATAGCTTTTATTAAGTTGGTGCAGTGCTGGCCATGTTAAAGGTCTATATAGGGGGTAAAGGATGAGACAGCAGACAATGGTCTGTCTGTATCCATTTCCACTATTCTTGTTCTTTTCTACTTTTAATTTTTCCTTTTTTTCCATTTATAAAAAGAGGTGTACAATAATAATAAGGATAAAGAGCAACGTCCAAACAGCAAACATGCTCTCTGTTTTCTAAAAGTTCCACGGGCACCTCGTCATACACACGTGATTCTTTCATCACCAATTCACCACCGGCCTCAATTCATTCCTATAATTAATTATACAGAGTCTATATCTCCGTTGTAATAAGGTTCAATGTTTTTGTTTCCCAGCGTAAACCAAACACTTTTTCATCTAAAAATAGTTAAGCACAAGGTTTAACGTTGCATAAGTTGTATTTAGACAATAACGACAACATTAAGTTATTAACACTTTTGAATATAATGAAACAAATCATCACAGGGAATGAATCAATGTCACAGGAAGTAAACTACAGAAACTTGTATAATAAAATCTCTCCAAACTTCATCCATTGGGCGTGTGTGTATCTGAATTTTACCCTAAAACCCAACCAACATATCCTTTTTCTCCATTCAACAGTGAATGAACATTTAACATCCACAAAATTAAGCAGCTGAAAAATACTAAGTTACAGACATTTACTATGTGCATTTCTAATTAGGTAGTTAATTAGAGGCACATTGCAGGGAGAAAGGGAAGCTTCACTAACTAATTTTTTTTTCTTTCCCAATTGAGTTTCCTCGTCACCTACAGCAGAACCTTCTCCCTTCTTCTGAAACAGAGAATTTTATTGCCTAGAAATTGGCGTCATTTGCATCGATGATTGCTGGTTGTATAATTTTCCATCTGAACCCTGAAAACTCTGATAAGAATTTGCTGGTGCCATGAAGGGAGAAATGCCATTTACTGGAGCTCCTGCTGGGTAATCAGGCATTGAGGGTGGTGGCTGTTGTTGGGCCATGCTATAGCTGTATGGTACAGCGCCCTGCATATATTGGGACACCGGGTATTGTGGTACTGGGGGTAATGGTGGCAATGGTGGAGGAGAAGATGATGGAGGAGGTGGTGCCTCACTAGGAGTATATTGTTGGTTGGTGGTAGGGACAATAGAATGCGGGATGGGAGGAGATGGAGATGGGTTAGAGCTCTGGGGTACATAAGATGACGATTGGTCATTCTCGAGCTTAGGCCTCTTTTCGGGTGGATAATCACCAGAAGGCTCTTTAATTGGATTGCTGATAACACCCTCTGATGCCAGGGAGGAGAGCACATAAGAGAGCATCTGGGCTGAGGACGTTGATGCGGTCAGCTTTGCTGCCACTGCAGCAGCTGCAGACTTGCGGGGATCATCCTCCACATGACCAGATTTTTCGGGAAAAGGAACCTGCTGTGTGTACATTACTGGAGCCGATTGTTCTCTACCTACCGCCATAAAGCTGTGGGGTGCTACAGAGGTATGAGCTTCTTTTGAGCTCTGGTGTGCTGCCGACTGCATATTGTTGCCATTCAATAACCGATGGCAGATATCAGTGGCCTGCTCTGACTGGGATTGTGCTGCCTGGAAAACAATATATGTATAGTGCTTACGTTAATAGGTGTACAGACACTATACAACTAGAGTTTGTTGCAAATGGCAACAGAAACAATTATGTATAAATGTATGATTAGCAGATCTCCACAAGTGTCTTTTTACTAATCTAATTTGCAAAACCATATAGTATTAGTTATTTGATTGATGCAAAGCCGAGGCTCGTATACAGCAACAAAATTTTGCATCACCAGTCAATTAATCAATGAAGGCACATAAAATTGATGCAAAATCAAGGAGTGATATATGATGATATATGCAGGGCATTCCAAATCAACCTAACTTACAAGGATGGGAGCTCAAGCCAACCCAATGGAATACCACAATGAATCAACATATGATTCCCAAATGACAGGCATATAAAGCATAAGATTTATAATAATTTCCAAGGTATTTACCAATCCACAAATCTAACTTTAGTTTCCAATTATGAATACTTACATCTATGCTTATAAATATATATGGAGAGTTTTACCAGGAGCCAATTTTTTTTTTTTTGGAATATCTATGTATGTATATATAACGTTTATATATTTCGGCATTCAATTTAAATCTGATGGTGATAAACTAACAAACATTTGTATAGCTAAGTTATACTTCCACAACAAAAGGAGATGATTGATATGCATGCCAAACCTGAAGTTGGTCTCGGACTTGATCCAACTTGAATTCCTGACAACAAAACCATGTTAGTTCGCCTAAAATCATAATCTCATATAACAGTCAATGACAATTCTGATATTTTGCTGTGTCTGCCAACCAACCTGCTCCTGAAGAGCTTCTCTCAGGTGCGACACAAGATTAGCTCTTGACGATTCTACTGCTGTTAGTTGTTCAATACAGTCCCTCAGTACAGCATGCTGCCCTTGAACCTCCTCCACAAATGCAGATCCATGAAATTGCCCTAGTCAAGATGGACAATTCAGGACAAAGAAAGTTCTAACAAGAGATGACCCATTCAAGTACAACTTAAGTGGAAAGAATATAAAAAAGGAGCAATTATTGTCTTTTTTCAAAAAATAAAAAAAATACCAAACAAGTTAATCATAAACATAATAATTCATAATCTTCGTAAATTTTACATGTGTATACATTCTCTTTCAAATCTAGCCAATCCACTGTTTTCCTCCCCAATTTGCATCCCAAAAAGTTGACCTCATTAATTCTCTCTTTCCTCTCTGTATAACTTAACACTATACTTTTTTGTAATCTCACTGTAAGGAATCTTATTTAAGTAACCTGAAATACAGTTTGTTTTTCATCTAGCGCACAATATGAAGTTAAATGCAAACACAAATAAACATAAATCACAACATTACATATGTTCAAAGTTGGAGAAACATTCTCAAGAATTTACTCATTTGTGGCATACCTGAATTGAAATCACCACCAATTTCCTTATCTACCTTCTCAAGACAGCTAATAGCATTCCTACATTTACTCAATACAGTGTCTTCATCCATCTGCCCATATATGACTTGGTAATCTGAAACTATTTTGTCCAATGCAGTTCCAGCAGGCTGATTCTTTTAAAAAATTTAACAAAACAATAAAAGACAAAAAAAAAAAAACCATCAAATTATAAACTGAAATAAATGCTCAAACAACCATACAGGCATATGCAATTTGAATTACCAGTCTGGCACCCGAATGCTTCCCATTTCTATTAATATTTTCCAGGTGCTTTCCTACAAACTCTTGCTTGAGAATTTGACCCCGAGAGCCAAAAACTTTTCTCTCATCCCATATACCAACCTATAAGTAAAAAATGGAAACAGAACAATCAGCAACAGCTACATACTAGTCTCTAGAATAAAATTTTAATATATATATACATTTCACCCACTAATAATAAAGATGAAAATACCAAACAAAAATAACAATTGGGGCGACACGATTGCAAGCATTCAAGAAAAAAGAGTATATGATGCATATACATACACATATATAAGTGAGATATATACATTTAAAAGGCTCATAGAAGCTTCTTTGGAAAGGCATTGTAATGCATCATGCTGCAATGTTTCTACATACTTGAGTCCTTCTATGCACCTTATAAACTCATAAAATTATGGTTTTCTCAAGGTTCTCAAGAAAAAATAAAATAATCTCCAGGACAACTGATTCCAATTGGTTCTCTTATAAAAAATGTAGAAAAGAGGTTACACAGTTATACCAGTCGTTGTGCTGCATTTCTTCCAAATTCATCTCCACTTTCAATTACATCACGAAGAGCATCTGGAAGAACCTTCCAAAATTCACCAACAAACTCCGAACCTTTTCGCCTGCTGTTCTGTAAAATATCATTTGCAAGATAGAGGAAAGCCAATCTCTGCTCACGTGGAGCGGAATGAAATTGCCTAGCCCATGTTTCAACAACTTGTCTTGCTTTATTCATATGGAAAATGCACCAATGTGATAAAGCTTAATTGCATTAAGGAGAACATCCAAGTAATTAACACCAAAGATAACAAGAAGTATTAGTTAAAACTTGTAAATGAACTGCTTAGAAAGTATAAATATCAACTGAACAATAAAGTAAACAGTGATCATGGAGTAGCAGGTAAAGGAATTCAAATTTGACATGGAAAATCCATTGAATATGTGGATTTGACAATGGATTGCAAAATCCAATTAAGCTTTCTGCACAAATAAATCCTCATAGGTACCCCAAAATTTCAAAGAAATGAGATATGTAAGAGAATTATGAAACAAAAGGATGCTACTTTATCCCACAAAAAGAAACCTGACTCACTATGTCAGTCAAAACAGTTAGGAAAATGGTCTAGATTTATACTTTAAAAAAATCTAAAGAAAACATTGATTTCCATATGATGTCAGAAAGAGGATACTCTCTATGCTTGCTTGCGAGTTGTTGAGCTTGGCTAGCTTTTCCACTAAAATCTGCGGATTAAATGTACTTCCCATGATTCCAGTAAGATTTGGTCCAACTAACAATGCACAATGCAGGCTTTTAAACTGAGAAAACCTTCACGCAAAACAAATAAACATTTAAATATATATAGAAAACATATCCTCACCTAGTAAGACAACTAGAGGCACAACATATTGAGAACAAAGTTTCATGTGATTAGTAAGGAAGCATAAATTACAGGGTTACAATTTGAAAGGTTAAACAAAATCTTTAGAAAACTCAATGGTTGGCCTGAATATTGGGAAATCTTGCGTTTGCAAGTTGCAAACAGTCAAGTTCATCATCACCATGGACCATGATTAGAGTCAACAGATTCACATTGATTTGTTATTGGTACAGTTTTTATGTTTTTTGAGAAATAACATAGCAATTTTTCTTCATGTTCACAATTTTAGACTATGAGTGCTTCCTATGATAAATTCTTCAAAATTTATAATGATTCCAGTACCCAAACCAGAGCTTGAAAGGATAATTTCCTCTCCATTTCACCTAAAACAAGGGCATGGAATGTGCCTATGACAACAACGAAAAAAACTATTCAGATAGAAATGTTTTTAAATCTAGACAGGGATAGTAAAGAAAATATAGCCAGTGAATTGACTCTGAATCTGGAGTTGGCTATTAGGCCCGTACAAAGCCTGGAACATCTGATACCTAAATCCACTATGAGAAAACAATAAAGACAATACTTGTGTGCTAACTGGCAGTACACAATTGTTTCATAATATGGGACAAAGCTTCCTCCTCAATTTTCATACTTCTGTCCATTCTTGGATTCTGGAGGGAGGAGATAATACAGTTAAAAACTCGATTTAGATGGCTATCTCTAATAAATAAAGATAAATCCACTCCATATCTAGAAATTCTAAGATGTAACGATGGCGGCGTTGCCTATACACTTCAAACCATTTGTGAGACTGATAGATGAAAAAGGATTTTATTACACTTTCAGATGATACATCTAAGCCGTTGGGCAGCCCTTGGGCCTTCTCTTGGGCTAGATAGTTTATCTTCAGGCTCTAGGTTTGGAAGCATATGTTCATCAATAAGAGAGAGTTGCTCTAGATGATCTAGTTGCGGCCAATTCCGTACAATCTGATGCCAGATTCCAAGAATAGGTTTTCACATTGTGTTCGCCTGTAAGGTACTACATTTTTCTTCATTTTGGGATAGTTGACATGTAATGATTAAGCAATGAATGAATGAGAAGTTTCCTTCCGTGGTTAACGATCAGAAAGTAAAATCTTAGTTGTATATGCCAATAACAGTGTTACCAAATGGCTTCTGCACTACATACAACAATTTGGCAATAACTTCAAGATGAAAAGGATAGAAAGACAATCAAACATGAATTATTGTTCCGAATTTGATTCTCTATGCCAATTCATTCAATTTCGTATTTTCTTTACCAAATTTTGCAACACATGATACTCCCTCATGGTATCTACAAACTACCAAACATCAAATATGTTTGTTTATAAGGTTTCCATCTTCAGAATCATGCAGATACTCAAAATTAAATACTCAATGAACAATCACAGTGAAATTAAATAATTAATTCACCCCAACCGCAATGACTAATCACAGTGAAATTAAATACTCAATGACCAAGCATAACAGATTAATGAAAACAGCATCACCCAAACCCCAAAATTTCTTTTCTTTTTTCCCATTATCTACATGTTATCCCTAACTTTGCCTATCCAATTAAAGCAGTTATTGAAAATGTTACTAAAAAATTCACAAAAAAAAAAACAAAAAACAAAAAACAAAAACAAAAATCCTCAAATAAGCATAAGAAAAAAAAAGGCAGACATTCGTGGGCTTTGCATGAGAATACAACTACAGCCCTAAAGTAGAATTAGGGAATAAAAAAGCATAATTACCAGAATGAAAACAAGAGGACTAAGAATTGGAACCCTAAAGCTTGAAGTAGGCACCTTTTTGTGTTTCTAAGAATGTGGTGGGGTGAGAGAATCAGCTAGCACGCACCAGTTCATCCATGGATGGTTGGGTTTCGGTTGGAATGAGAATACGGGATTAGTTGGAGGGGTGGAGGCGAAGCTGACCCAGCTGAATTCGGACTCAGAAGCTCCCAAAGACGAAGGCTTTTTCAAGTTTAACGGGTTGTTTTTTGAGTTTGGCTTCCGGCTATTCCTCTGTCCCTCTCTTGGCTTCTCTTTTGATAATTACAGTACGGTCGGGATTTTATACTTCCTAAATCACCCCTTCCGTTCTTTAGGGGTTTTAGCCGTCAAGTAGTTCAAAACGCATATCTGCTAAGGCAACGACGTCGTACGCATTTATCTAAATTTGTATGTGTACAGCATTCTCATTTTCTCACGTGTGTGACAGTCCGAGGTTGTTCTCACTTTCCATATAGAATAATATTTTGTTTCACTTTCCCCTATTATCTCGATTTTTCATTATCATCTAATGTGAAACGTAACATAACAGTTAATAATTAACTAATTATAAAAAAACCGAGGTTCAAAGTGAGTTTAAGATACAACATGAAAGAAATGCTACCGTATTAAATTAAGGAAGATTTACTATTATATCCAATATAAAGGTCCAAATTATAAAAAAAAAATCATATATGAAATGGACCTTAGAAACATATCTAAAGTTCATTTACAACATAACAAACAAAAAGACTTTAAATTTTTTATAAATTACAAAACTGCTATCTATCTCTTAAAACAAGCTCAACCTCAAAACCTCATTTAAAAAAACTCATAACACTCAATAGGGCATCAAAGTAATTTAATAATTAAAATTAAATTCAATATGGCCAGCTTTCATTTTTTGGATTTTTTTTTGAATTTGTTTATAGAAATTAAATGGTGTAGGATTTATTTATATCATTAGTGCTAAGAATGGATACATGACTAAATATCTTTTAAAGTAACGGAGATTCATACATAAATCATGGAAACATTGAAAATTGATATTTGATTAAGGCAGGACCACCATTAATTTAAGCTCCCACAAAGCAAACAAAATCCATCATTAATACCATGCACACGTGTTACATAAGCTTTCAGCATACTTTTTCTTTGACCAGTCACATAGCAGTAGTCCGCATCAAATAATAATATTACAACAAGTAACAATAATTTGGAAATACAAGAGCTTTTGAAAAATAATTCATTATTGCTGTTGTTGATCTAGATATTCATCAGTTCCTGAAACACCTTCATGGCAGAAGCTGGAAGACCCAAAAGCACGTTTATGTTCTTCTTTTCTGTCCCATTAGAAAGGAATAAGATGACTTCCTTCTCAGGCAATGCCACAGGACCTGAAAGTATAGGCTCTCCCCAGCCAAAGTCAGTTGTGTAGAAGGACAGCCTAGACCAAGTTGTGATCAAGAGGGTGGAGGCCAAAGAAGGCCTAGCTCTTGTCAGTTCGAAATAATCTATGGCTGATCTCATGTAACTGTCAGTGACCATCTTAATTGCATCTTGAACCAGCCCAACTGCATGTGAGAGTGGCTTCTCCAGCAGATCACCTGCTTGGCAGATGGAATTTGTCAACACAATGCCATTGCCAAAGTACCCTTTTGGCAGTGGTGGGCTGAACTTAGGCCTCCCATCAACAGCAAATAGGAGCTTTATTTGTTGTTCAGGCAACAGTTTTAGAGCTCTGGTTCGAGCTTTCCACACGAATGCTGAGAGAGCTTCAAATGTAGTGCATTTTTCAAGAGCCCCGTCTTCCCTGGCTTTCATTTTCACTTTTTCAAGCTTCTCACTGTCAAAGCAGAAGGAGCTGTATATCATTTTTTCTTCAGAAAGGTCGTTACTGGCGCTGGAAGTGCCAATAATCTCTGAGAATTCTTGATGCAGGTGCTCTACAGTTGGTGGGTTCCGTGCTTTGAGTATGCTTCTGTCTACAAATGGAGGCACTGTCAATGGCAAACCTCTGGCAATTTTAGCCCACGAGTTCACAAATTCCATAGCGCCAATGCCATCAAACATACAGTGGTTCATGCACAGGCCTAGAGCAAACCCTCCACATTTGAATTTAGTCACCTGGTAGAATGAATGATCCATGACTACTTCAATTTATGAATTTAAACTCAAGAGATAAGAAATGAAATTAATTGTAGAGGTTTTAATTACAAACCTGAGCCACCAGAGGAGGCAGCTCTAGTATGTTCTTGGCACCAGGAACATCATAAACCAGCTTTCCAAGAGTCTCAGGGTCAGGCTTTGTTATGTCTCCAATATCTTCAATTCTACAATCTGCTTCAGCCTCGACAAAAACAGCTCCTTCACCGGTGCAATCTACAATGAGCTTTCCCTCTGAGCTGATTGTTAGTCTCCCGGCAAGAGGGTAATAGTGGACAAGAACCTTCTTCAAAGAATTCTTGATCACTTCCCCTGCCTTGTCATTTCCTTTGTCATCTGACTTGAAGCAATAAATAGTACGAACAGTCACCGCAATGTTTTGGTCGAGGTTGGAGAGAAAGTATAAACCCTTCTCTGTTTCCTCTGCAGGGGAAACCAGAGTTGGCTCTCCTTGCTTCACTCTTAGTTGGAACACATTGCCGCCACCATTAGAGTTGTTGTCCATTGCAGCAGACTCTCCAAGTTCAGCAACCTGAAACACAATATCAAGAAATGCAGAGAACAAGAAGCAATCTATTTAATATTTTTGTATTGGTTGGAAAGCCTAAAAAACTGAATGATAGTAAATTAATGCACAATTTATCTGCTTATGAGAAAACAAACCATGTGGGCAAACTGGTGTAGGGAAGGACAGTTGTGAAAATAAGGAATATGGTGAGAAGTGAATTCAAGAAAAACCAAAAAAGTGATGGTGATCAGAATCTCTCACAGAGTATGGGTTTGGGGTGATGAATTAGGAGGTGGGTTATTATAGAAAAGGGAAAGGGAGTGGCCCAACTTACAAGCGTTGTGTTACTTGTTTAAGAAAAAGAAGATAATAATGTGAAAGGGACAGGTAGTTGTGCCTGAAATCTGAGCACAGCAAGTGTTTTTGGCAAATGCTACGGAATTGTGTGTTGAATTGAAATGGTGTTTTCTTCTTGGACAATGGACAATGGACAATGGAGATGGTCTTGAATCTTGATATGCCAGATGGGTGGGGGTAGGCCACTGGTACTGGAACCTAACACACCAGCCAAGAAATCTACTGTCACAAGGGAGAAGGGTGGGGGCTTATTTGGTGGGGTTGGTATCCAAAACTCGCTTTGCTTTGCTTGGTCTCTTACAAGTTTTGCCATAATAATATTTGCATCTCAGCTCTCATCAATATAATTTTCTTTTTGGCCGGTCGGCATCTGCTGATATTTTATTGAAAGTAGGATGCCAAGTTCCGGTAGCCATCTTGGTCAATAAGGTGAACAAAAATATAAAACCCTCAATATCTTTGTCTCAATAGGTATTAGGTTGCTTTTTAACGGACACAGTGACATGCATAATTTACTTTAGAGTTGCTTATAACTTTGAAGACCAAGTCCAAGAGCAGGAGCAACAACCAAAAAGGCTACTGGGAAAAGGATGAATTATTAACCAACTGCGAGTATTCTAATGGATTTAGGTTATGTCATGAAATATTTATCAAGTAAAAAAAAAAACAACGAGATTCCAGAAGAAGACGCAACTGTTTTCTTTATTTATTCTTTATTTTTTATCAACAGAAGAAGCAGTTTTCAAATGCGAGATATGTTGTCTCTTGGCAAAAGTGCGTTGCTTTATCTGTATTATAAAGGATAAGATTGACCTCTCTATCTAACTCCATTTCCGTATTTCACATTAAAGGTTGAAAAAAAAAACAAGAGAAGACGTGTTTTACTTTCTCACCAGCACTATGAGAAGAAAATCATGGCGTGGAATATGGGCTGCAAGTCTGCAATTGTGGTTGGGCAATGGCGTGGAATATGGCTACTCCTCACTCTCCCACAAGGAAATAAATTGTATTGGAAACAGACTAAAAAACACAGAATATTTTCTACATTTTTAATGTCATACATTCCAGCCATAAGGATACAACTCTTGATAGGTTCTTATCACACAAACTCTTTGCACTAGGCTTATACATAACATAGCTACCAAGGGAAGTAAACACGGTTACTCAAAACACCTATAGGTTACTCAGTCAGAACACAAATTGGATATTTTAATGTCTTAGCCTCTCATGGTTTTCCTTGTCAGGTGTCACTCTTCCAAACAGCTAAGAGGGTGGCAAACTGACCTCAAAAAGTCATGCCTGACCACACTTGCTTAGACAAGCAACTCCTTCTTCTAGATAATCCTCCCTGGTAATCCAAAATTCAGGAGCATCCTGCATGTGTTAACCACCACATTGAAATTTTTAGATCACTTGCACTTACTTATCTCAGATATGGGAAGAATTAAACAAGAATGCCCCAGTGACATCATTTAAAAATTTGATCTCAAAGATAGAGAGAACAAGCAATGACACGTACCTTCATAATTCCTGCAAGAACTGCACCACCTAGATACACCATGTGCTTTCTTCGTGGAGGATCTTCAATTCGCAATCGCAATTTCTGTTCATCACAAATTTTGGAGCATGAGAAAGAGACCGACTGAGCTCAGTCTATTATGCCATATTCAACCAGGATTTACCCAACCTAACCACCGTCATTTTATTACCACTTTAATACCAACATTATACAATAGCACGTTTCCCCTGTTTCATATTTTTCAAAGCTATTGTTCTCTTTCTAATCCATGAAACACAAAACTCGTATCATACCTTCAGTCCATCTTTGTTACCCTTCAAAACAACGTCAAGATAACGGTCCAGTATTTCTTTCTCCAAACTGAAGAAACACCAAAATTTAATATCAGAAAGTTCCTAACTCTATTTTTAATAAGGAAAAACAATGCCTTTGGGATGGAAAAGAACTCACTTGGTTTTTCATGTCAAAAAGTAACTCATGGATTTTATTTTTAAGGTTCTAAAATTTTCTACAATTCCTTTAACACGTTGTCTAATCCCAAATGGACTGATATTCCAGGAAAGTGAAATTGCTGATTATTGATACTACAATGTCTGACTATTTCAGGCTTCTTTCAAACAAGGCAAATGCCCTTAGTATTATGAGGCTTTTGGACAGTAAACAGTGGTTCGTAAACTATGCACCTGAAAAAGGATGATCGTGAATTGTCTTCACTTTAGCGGAGCAGGAAAAGGAATAATAAAATGATCAAGGTGTGTGTGGAATAAAGAGTAA